AAATACAAAATAATAAACATAATAATATTAATAGTAAATAATATATTATTATTATTATATACTAACTTTATAATGACGAAATAACTAAATAAATTCCAAATATTTAACAAATAACTTTTCTTTTATATTTTAAGTATTTAATAATATTTTTATATTATTTATCTAATAAATTAAATACTTTATTCAAGTTATTTGAGTCAAACATGTCGGTAAATTAAAACATAATATAATGCTAAAAATTATATATATTAAATGTAAAAAAAAACACACACATATATATAAACATTTTTCTAGAAACTTAGAACAAAATTTTACCATTTATTAAGTAATTTGAAGAAAAAAAATATTGAATAGTGAAAATAAGATTGAATCAAACTTATTTAAGGGAAAGTGTAAATAAAATTTTGCAATATATCACAAGTTTAAATCTGAGCCATGTGAATGCTCCATTAATGTAGAGAGAGAAAGAAAAATATTGTTGAATATAATGGGGAGGTGTAGGGTATTTTTGGAATAAAAGAAAATAGTGGGGAAATGTAAAGTATTTTTGGAATAAAAGAAAATAATGAGGAAGTGTAGGAGCACTTGGGGTGGTGGAGGGAGTAACATCCTTTTTCTTTATTTATACACAATTCACACTTTATTACATTATAATGATAATACATCATTATTTATTATAAGCAAGTTAATATATATCTAACTTTTCTAAATTATGAAGCATAACAATTGGAGAATATATCTTTAAAATGCTATTGAACTTTGAATTTGTTTAGAAAGTGAATAAATAGTGGAGTGATATCTTCTCAAATTAGATTGAATTTGAGATTTGTTGGAATTGACAATTTCATATATGAATGAGTTCGAATTTAAATGTTAAGTTGGAGAACGAACTTTAGAAACTATATAATCATATTGAGTATAAACTTGTAATTGCACTTTAAAATAGAAAAAAAAACATTTTAAGTTTAACTTTTGTAAGAAAATTAAAATTAGTTATTTTGAATTATTTGAAATAATCAAATTAATTTAAATATGAAGTTACATTTAACTAAATTTTTAAATTTAATAAGAAAAACATTTCATTTATTAAATAGTATATTATATTTTGTAATATCAAATTGAGTTTAAAATTTAAAGTCTAAAGTTAGACTAAGTCGAACAAGATTGAATATTAATTAGTGGTATAGTGGGTTCTATTTCGTTTAGAGTAATGAGATGACCCAATTTTCAAAGTCTTGTATTTTTTTGTTAGGAAAGAAGTGGTAAGGACCATCCCAGTGTAATGAGATGACTGAATTTTCAAAGTCATTTATTTTTTGTTAGAAAAAAAGTGGTATACGGGATCATCCCAATGTCCACATTTATTGTTTCATGTGATGATGCTATCTAAATAAATTAATATCTGCACATAAAATAGTATAAGCATACTAAAGATCATATATGCAATATCTACTAACAACTTAGAAAAAATTAATATTAGATTTTTTTTTTAATGATTTGAGTAATTCACTATTTAAGATGTTTGTTGTTGTTTGTATATCCACATTTATTGTTTCAAAGTCTTTTAAAAGTCTTTTCTAAGTTTTTTTTTTCTTTTGTGGAATCTGATATTAGGGGTCAATGCATTCACATCAAAATTTCCACATCTGGATTGGGATTGCTCAAATCCTTTTCATGTTCTTTTTATTTACTTACATGATACTATCTAAATAAAATAATATCTTCACATAAAATAGTATAAGCATACTAAAGATCATATATGAAATCTCCACTAAAAACTTTTAGAAAAAAATAATATTAGATCTTTTTTAATGATTTGAGTAATGCACTATTTAAGATGTTTGCGTGATTTGTAATATATTTTTTTTCAAACATTACACTAAACAATCATATCTAAAATTCAAGTGATGGTTTTAGTTCAAGCATTACACTAGAAGGCTTTATTCATCTTATTTTTTTGGTGCAGGAGTGTCTTTATAGTCTTTCAATATTGGCTTTGGAATTTCATAGTAGATAACTTGTTTACGGGGGAACAAAAAGTGACCACAACTAACTATATTTGTTTGATTAAATTATAGTTAATTATACATCTAGAGATAAAGAGTGCGAATTCAATAAATTAAGTGAGACATGTGAAAAATGGATTATTTATTGCATTTAATTTTTTTAAAAATGTTTTATTTTTTTATTTTTAATATTGACAATTTTTAAAAACCATTTTAATAAGAGAACTTTATTTTGAAACTTTTATTTCTTTATATTTTCCTTGTGTTTTAACCGTATAATGTATATGAATTATTTTCTCTTTTATTTTTAACATTATTGAGAAACTATTTGAGATAGGAAGGTAATTGTGGTAAAAGATTAAGTTATTATTGTAATATTATATATTTATACAACTTAAAACTTATTTATGAATAAATATAAAATTGTAAGAAATATACAACATAGTTCTTAGGCTTAATTAAATTTTAAGTATTTCATAAAGTTAAAATTTAATATATATACTCAATTAAAAATTACCAAATATGGTTAAAAAATCGTTTATATTTAATAACACTTAAGCAAAAGTAAATATTAAAAAATTTAAAGTCATAAAAAAGAAATAGAAATAATAATTATTTAGTTCTGGAAAAGAATAATTAGCTCTATAATTGTGTATTTTATAGTTTGATTGGTTTTAGAATAATTGCAATGAATTCGCAAAACGAATGCTACCAGTCGTTTCCAGTTTGGTCATTTATATATATGAATACCAATCTAGCGTAAATACTCACACTCACTGCATTTGATCCATCATCACTTTTTCTGTGTGATGATAAGACCCACAACAACCTCAATGAAGAATCCAGTCCGTTTCAGATTGGTGATGTTTGTGTTGTATGTGTTGCCGCAGCTGGTTGTTAATGGAGAACAGGAAATGAGATGCATTCCAAGGGAGAGAGAAGCACTGCTACAATTCAAGGGTGCCATTGTTGATAACTACGGCATGCTCTCCTCTTGGACCACTCCAGACTGTTGCCAGTGGGAGGGGATTCGCTGCAGCAACCTCACCTCTCACATTCTTAGCCTCGACCTTCATGGAGACTATGCAGAACCCTTTGTACGTTATATGAGCGGAGAGATCCACAAGTCGTTGATGGAGTTGCAACAATTAGAGTATTTGAATCTCAGTTCCAATGATTTTCGGTGGAGTCCCTTTCCAGAGTTTTTTGGTTCTCTAAAAAACTTGAAATACCTTGATCTGTCGTTAAGTTATTTTAATGGAGAAATTCCAAGTCAGTTTGGCTCTCTTTCTCATTTGAAATACTTAAATCTTGCACTCAATTCTATGAAGGGTTCAATTCCTCGTGAGCTTGGAAATCTCTCCCAGTTGCAGTATCTTAATCTTTCCTACAATTATTTTTATGGAAATATACCATCTGAACTTGGAAATCTCTCCCAGTTGCAGTATCTTGATCTCAATAGAAATATTTTGGTAGGTAGTATACCATCTCAACTTGGAAATCTATCCCAGTTGCAATATCTTGGTCTTTATAGCTACACAAGTTTAGAAGGAAGTATACCATCTCAGCTTGGAAATCTCTCCCGGTTGCAGGAGCTCTATCTTGCACGATATAATGCTCTCAATATAGACGACGGAGGTCAGTGGCTATCCAATCTCATTTCTTTAACTCATCTTTATTTGGAGTCTGTACCAAATCCTAATACTTCTCATAGTTGGTTGCAAGTGATATGGAAGCTACCCAAACTTAGAGAACTAAGTTTAATTCGTTGTAGCCTTTCCGATGATTTCATTCAGTCATACATGCCTTCTAAGTTCAATTCTTCTACTTCCCTCTCGGTCCTTGATCTTTCTGTGAACTCCTTCAAGTCACCAACAGTATTCCAGTGGGTGTCAAACATCACTTCCAACCTTGTTGAGCTTGACCTTAGTCGTAACCTCTTGGAGGGTTCCACATCAAGTCATTTTGTCATGCTCATGAATTCTCTTAGGCACCTTGACCTCTCCTTTAACTATTTCAAGGCCGGGGATTTGAAATCCTTCATTAATATATGCACCTTACATTCTTTAAATATGGTTAGAAATAATTTGACCGAAGACCTTCTCTCCATTCTCGGTAATTTGTCCAATGGTTGCGTTAGACACTCATTGCAAGAATTAGATCTAACAGATAATAACATCACTGGCACTTTGTCTGACATTTCAGTATTCTCCTCTTTGAAATCATTGTTTCTTGATAGAAATCGGTTAAGTGGAAGGATACCCGAAGGTGTGAAGTTACCATCTACTTTGGAGGATTTGTCAATGAGCTCAAATTCATTACAAGGTGGAATTCCAAAATCATTTAGGGATGCATGTTCTTTGCAATCATTTACCATATCTGATAATAGCTTGAGTGTTGAGCTTCCAATGATAATTTCTCACTTGTCTGGATGTGCTAGATATTCGTTGCAAGTATTAAATCTACATGGTAATCAAATCAATGGCACACTACCTGACTTCTCAACATTCACATCTTTAAAAGATTTATCTCTTTCTGAAAATAAGCTAAATGGAGAGATTCCTAAGAACATTCAATTTCCACCTAAATTGGAGGACCTCGACATCTCTTCAAATTCTTTAAAGGGTATGCTTACTGACTACCACTTTGCTAATATGTCTAAGTTAAATAACTTGGACTTATCTGACAACTCATTGAGTTTGGCATTTACCCAAAATTGGGTTTCACCTTTTCAGTTGGTGGTGATAAAATTGAGATCCTGCAAGCTAGGTCCAACATTTCCCAAATGGTTGCAAACTCAAAACAAATTTGTTGATATTGATATTTCAAATGCTACAATATCAAGTATTATTCCTGAATGGTTTTGGGCTAAATTACCACAACAAAAAGTGATCAGAATGAATATTTCATACAACAATCTACAAGGTAGAATTCCAAATGCTTCATCAACGTATTCTAGATCCATGTCCCTTGAATCAAATCAATTTGAAGGTTCTATTCCTCTGTTCCTACGGAATTCTGAAATTCTTGATTTTTCAAAAAATAAATTCTCAAATCCTCTTTCTTTTTTATGTGGAAATGGAACCATCCAAGATTTATACTATTTAGACCTTTCACATAATCAATTATTCGGTCAAATCCCAGATTGTTGGAGACAATTCAACTCACTAGTTTATTTGGATTTGAGCCACAACAACTTCTCAGGAAAAATTCCTACTTCAATAGGATCACTTCTTGATCTTCAAGCATTGCGGTTGAGAAACAACAATTTAGTAGAAGAAATCCCTTTCTCCTTAAGGAATTGCCCAGAGCTAGTAATGCTTGATTTGTCAGAGAACAAATTATCAGGATCTATCCCTGATTGGATTGGGACAAAAAGTAAATTACAAATTTTAAGTTTGGGAAATAATCAATTCTTTGGGAGTTTAACATTAGAGGTTTGTTGTCTCAAAAACATTCAGGTCTTGGATCTCTCAATAAACAACTTATCTGGAAAAATTCCTAAATGCATAAAAAATCTTACTTCAATGGCTCAACCGACATCTTCAATATATGGTGGAGATCACTCATATCTTTCCAAGCATAGTTTTTTTATAATCAGTGGTGGATACGATTTGAATGCATTGTTAACATGGAAAGGTTCTGAACAAATGTTTATGAATAAAGGTTTGTCACTTTTAAAAAGCATTGATCTTTCAAGCAATCGTTTCTCAGAAGAAATTCCAGTAGAAATAGAAAAATTATCTGGACTGATCTCATTGAACTTATCAAGAAACAATTTGATTGGAAAAATTCCTTCGAACATTGGAAAGCTAGCATCACTTGATTCTCTTGATTTGTCCAGAAACCGACTTGTTGGTTCAATTCCTCCAAGTCTTGCTCAAATTTATGGACTTGGTGTGTTAGATTTGTCTCATAACCATCTAAGTGGAGAAATTCCTACAAGCACACAATTACAGAGTTTCAATAAATCTAGTTATGAAGATAATCTCGATCTTTGTGGACCACCACTTGAAAAATTGTGTATTGGTGGGGAACCAACACAAAAACCAAATGTCAATGTTTATAAAGATGAATACTCAATTTTTAGTAGTGAGTTTTTCATGAGTATGGGAATTGGATTTGCTCTAAGTTTTTGGACGGTGTTTGGCTCAATTTTATTCAAACGTTCTTGGCAACAATCCTATTTCAACTTCTTGAACAACTTAAAAGACAATGTTTATGTCAAAATAGCAATCTTTGCAAGAGTACTTAAGCGGGATAAAGAGTAACAGGTAATAATATCATAGATTTTATACCACTTTGATTTTTCTATATATTAAATGCACATTACCATATATCCTTTTAAAATATTTCTATAGCATTTTATTGATTAAAATAAAATTTAAAAATAATTATTATGTTAAATATTGAACCAATTTTTACAATTCAATTAGTTGCTTTTGAAACTAATTATGTCAAAGACATAAGATTTATTGCACAAGAGCAATTAAATGTGTAAATATAGCATGTTAAGTAATAAGAAAATGACTTCTTGCTCTTTTGAATGACGAGTGCCATTAGTTTTTATTTACTTAATTTTTTTTAATAAAACTATTCTATGGACAACCTTTTGCAAATTTAGATGAAAAATTTGCATGACTACAAAATAAAATAGCAACAAAATAATTGATGTTCAATACTTGATAGTCTTGTAAAAAAAAAAAGTTTCCTTGCTACCATGAAATCATGTTTTTTCCATAGTAAACTTCTGAGATCTTTATCTATCATTACTTTTCTTTTAACCTGATTATTATTCTTATTACTCTAAAATTCTAAACAAAGCCATTTCAATGTACACATTTCGAATAACTAACATTTTTTGTATTTTATTCTTCAATTTTCAGGCACTTGAAACACATATCCTCTTGCCGGACTCCACCTTTGAGCATGTTAATGCTTGGACAAGGCAATGGTTTCTTCAAATTCACTTGGCGTGCTGATAAACTGGTGTTCATGTTTGTATTGTTTGATTTTTTACTTTTAATGAAATATAAATTATCATACATTTTATTAATAATTCACTCACTCAATACTTTTCTTATCATATCGACTTCGTTCTGACATATTTTTTAGTTAATTACATTCCATATATTTGCCTCGGGAAAGTTTCATCATTTCAATGTTATAAATCACTTTATAGAGAAATTATATATATATATATATATATATATATATATATATATATATATATATATATATATATATATATATATATATATATATATATATATATATATATATATATATATATATATATATATATATATATATATATATATATATATATATATATATATATATATATATTTGTTTTTCAGTTGGTACATTTTAGCAATGTGTACCGGATTTTAGTAGACAAAAATACCCATACCATGGATTCTAAGTTTTAAGGTTAAGAGTATTTTAATAATTTTCATTCTCAAAACTAAAAAAATAAAAACTCCAAACCCTTACCCACCTCTATCATTCCTCTCAATCCTTTCTCTTTCATCTCTCTCACTCCAACCTTTTCTCTATCATCCCTAATGTAGCCCTAATTGAAAAAATCAAGAACATTTGTCGTTAAACAATTTGCCTTTGTAAAGGGTTGAGTCATTGACATATTCACCTTCAGGCAAAGGTTCATTCAAGATCTCTTCAATTTCATTATCTTGACTAACCTCTCTAATTTCATCATATGCATATGTTGAATCATCATCTCTAAAACAAACCCTCCAGGCCAATTATCAATTCCTTCATATGTCATTATGCTTGTGAAAATTAGATAGAATTATATACAACAAAAATTATAAAATGAAAATTCATTATAAAATCATTTTTTTGTAAGAAATTGTTTAACAACGAGTGTTTCTGATTTTCACCATCATTTTAAACTTATAGAGATTAAATATTTAATATATATACATATAGTTGATAAAAAACTAAAAAGAAAAATAATCATTTCAAATCAAGACATTTTAAATATTCAAAATAATATATGGAAATGAAAATACAGAATAAGTTCAGAGTTTAAAACAGAAAGGAAAGTAGAGAAATATGTTGCCAAGGATGTGTGAGTGTATGTGATGGTATTAAAGTAAAGGATAATTTTAACCAATTCATAATTTTAATCAGGGTAAGATTTTCTCTTCTCTTATATCTCTTCTTTTGGTAGGTTTGTATGTAGGATCTAAGCTTGAGTTTTTAACTTACACATGAAATCTAAATTAGTTAGATCACTTCCTATTAATTTAGATCCATAGCGATATGATGAATTTGTAAATAAAACCGCCTAAACAAGTTAACATATATCTAACTATTTCTAAATTATAAAACACAAGAATTAAGAGAAGGTATCTTTAAAATTGTACTTTCAATTTGTTTGAGAAGTTAATAAATAGTGTAATAACATCTTTAGATTTAATCCCATATATGTTTGAATAGAGTAGAAATACAATAAAATTATATTCTCATGTTTACCTTTTATTAGACAATTAAAGTTTATTATTGAGTTAAGGTAAACTGAAATTTATTCAGCTTGAATTATAGTTGGAGTATAACGAAATTAATTTTTATTTTGAATTGATTGAAATGTCTAATTATCTGCTTATATGATATATTAAATTGATGACAATTTTAAGTGAATGATTAATTTTCTGAGTGTGATTTATAAAATTAACATCAATTTTATAAGGGTCATGTTGAAATAAAAACTCATTTTTAATTGAAATTTGGTAGAATAATTAGCTTTCCTTTATTGAATTGTATATGAAATTTGTACCATATATGTGGTTGTATTTCGTTTTCTGCGATGACCAATTTTCAAAGTCTTTTTGATTTGTTCCGAAGAAGTAGTAGAAGGAACCATCCCCTTGTTAAATTCCCACATTTATCGTTTGACGTGATGAATGCTAAAGTTATGAAATTATCTAAATTCATGATTTGGGCATTTTCTTGCAAAGACTTTTGTCTTTCCCATGTTTCATAAAGTACTTCATCAACTTGTGAGAAAGTTGCAATAGCATATTTAGTAATGATACATTTATCGTTTCACATAACTCATAGAATGTGACAAAATGATTGAAAGGATCCCCAAGATCTAAGCCATAGAACTTATTTGTTGTGATCAAAGAGAGTAGTGTTGGCTTCATCTTAACGCCTTTAACAGATTTTACAATGTTGTAAAAGTGACGTGGTCCTTGTTGATGTGTGTAATCACCTAGCAATCTCCTTTGATTATTTCTTCCAACCATTTGGTTTGGTGGATGACAATGCAAACAAAATTTTAATACGCTTCTTCTTCTTGTTACTGTTGTTGTATTTTCATGTGCTGCTTGTGCTTCCTGGTTTTGCTGTTATTTCTCCTTGTTATCCTTTCCATACATGACATGCTTTTGTTTTCTTCTTTGCATACAAAATAGCTTCAAGCAGAGGCGAGTAAACAGAGCATGCAACAAGTGCTAAATACTAATATGATCTATTAGAAACTTTTGTACAGTTTGTACAACAATCAAACTGGTTATAAACATTGGTTTTCTTAATTCAAAACCCTAATAACGATACCAAAAACTTGTGTTCTAATGTAATCAATTTTTCAACAAGTATACTAGGTAGTTATGGTACAACAAGTATTATATCTATAAGTATTTGGAAGAATACATAACGTCATTAGTAAAAAAAGCGGATTTTGACGTCCCATATACGCTTCGGTTATTGAGAAATCGAAGCGTACAAGGTTATATACTTCGGTCCCCATTCAACCCGAGGTTCAAAAGCTATATTGCTTCGGTTAACACAAAATCGGTGCCTATACACCTCTGCTGCGCTGTCTGAAAAATCTAACACGTAACTACTGCCTCGGTTTGCTACGAAACCGGTGCCTAAACCCTTCCTATTGCTTCGTTAGGAATGAGACAGAAGCCTATACGCCTCTGCTGGTCACTCTATTGACTCGGTTAAAGGTAGAACCGAGGCCTATTACCCGGTCAAATCACTCACGCCTGATCCGCTTTTTCATTTTTTTCCTCTTCTTTCCTCTGACACTCTCATCTCACTCTCATCTCCCCTCTCGTTCTTTCCTCGTCTCACTCTCATCTCACTCTCATCTCCCCTCTGCCCTCTAGCACTCTCGCCCTCTGCCTCTGCCCTCTCGCCCTCTCGCCCTCTCGCCCTCTCGCCCTCTGCCCTCTCGCCCTCTCGCCTTCTACCCTCTGCCCTCTCGCCCTCTGCCATCTCGCCCTCTGCCCTCTCGCCGCAAGCCGCCGTTCAACCCTTGCCGCAAGCCGCGTTCATCCCTTGCCGCAAGCCGCCGTTCAACCACGCCGTCGGCCGCTGCCGTTCCACGGTGCTCGAGAGAGGGATCTCATCATCGCAAGCCTTTCATCGTCACGGTAAGCCTTCTACACTCACAGAATCATCTACGTTAGGGTTTCTTCTCCTTTTCACCATTTCCCTTCGATTCCACCGATTAAAAGCTTGTTTTCACTGTTAGAAACTTTTTCCACCGGTTAAACTTTGATTTACACCGATCAATCGGTCCATAATAAGTTTCCTTTTTCTTCTAGGGTTTCTAGGGCGGAAGAGGGCTTTAAGGGCGGCGACGACGGCAGTGGATGGAGGTTTGCGAGCAGTGGCGAGGCTGTTGTTGTTGTTGTTGTTGGGGTCGAGGAGGACGAGGCGTTTGCAGAGGCATGCGGGACAGAAGCCGGTGAAGGCTTCGTCGGGGTAGCGGGGCAGGAGGTGGAGGGATGGCGGGCCTGCAGCGGTTGGGGTTTGGAGGAGCAAAAGCTCACACGGTAAATCTCAGGCTTTTGTATTTTACAAACCTTTGGACCTCTGACCACGCCATTGGGGGAAGAATAGAGAAACTTGGCTTTCTGTTTCACCATGTGCAAAGAGGAAGAAATTTGGCTTCTCTGGCTTTCTGTTTCATCTATGAGTTTCTTCTGTTGTTGTAATATTGCTTCTGAGTATGTAATTTTGCTGCTTCTGTAGAGAGAATTTTGACATTGGATGTTGTAATATTGTGTCTTGTAATATTGCTGTTTCATCTGAGTATGTAATATTGTTGTTTTATCTGAGAATGTAATATTGATGTTTCATCTGAGTATGTAATTTGCTGTTTCATCTATGAGTTTCATCTCTGGCTTTCATCTCTGGCTTTCATCTCTAGCTTTCTGTTTCATTTTTAACGTTTTTCCGTTTGGGGTTCTAGAGTTTGAAATTAGAATCAGAAAAAAAAAGATCCTACTACCTCGGTTTAGGTTCTAACCGAGGCCGTAGAAACAGACAACATAACTCGGTTTGGAACCGAGGCAAAAAGGCTACCACTTTTTGCCTCGCCTGAATATGCCTCGGTTCAAAAACCGATGCCTATGAGTGAAATTAACCGGTGCCGTATCCTCTTCCTGCACTAGTGCGTTTAGAACGTGTTTGATTTTAATAAGACAGGATTTGAGTTGTGCAAAATGAAGTAAAACAAATTTTATATAAAAGAGTTTATCTCAATACGATAAATATGTGTTGGAATCAGATTTCATCACTTACCCCTCTCCTGTACTATTTTTAAATATCAAGATCTCTAAACTATTTTCTTATAAATTCTTAGGTTTGTCTTTAAAATTATGGGATTGATTCTCATAATTATTTCGATTAAAGAGTGTATATGTGACGGTACTGAAATAAGAGTAAATTATAACCGATTAAAATGGTTGAAATAAGAGTAGTGTAGAAATGTACTAATATAGTTGATTTGGAAATCAAGCACCGTATGAAGGAAGTTAAGACATATAACTAGTGCAGTTAAGAGAAACGACAGCGGTTATTTTCGCTCATAGATAGCGGTTCCGCAACCGAGGTATATATTGTTGAAGTAAAAAGTCTCTTTTTTGCCTCGGTTCTGAACCGAGGCATAAAGATATATGCTTTTGCTTCGGTTAAAATACAACCGAGGCAGTAGAGGGTGTTTCTTTTTTACTTTTTTTATTCTGCTAGATTTTTTGCCTCGGTTTATTGTTGAACCGAGGTAGTAAAAGGGTTTATTTATTTTTTTTTCCTCTAATTATATGCCTTGGTCTTATGCCTCTGCTCAAGCTCCTTGACAAAGTTAATAGCACCTCCAATTATAGAAGCTTGATCACCCTTCAATGGCCAACCAGACCAAACAACAAGAGACAATATCTTGAGAACATGAAAAAATGTACAATCCGACACTTACATGTATTTCTGGTTCTTGAAACTCATAAACCTTTATTTTATTAAACCAAACAAATTCTAAGATTGCTTATAATGCTACAAGAAGAAAAGCCGCACAACTTGTAGAAACCATCACATACAAAGATCCAACACTGCAAATGCATAATTTCTCCATCATCACCATCACTTTCTACAAATTATAGGTAAAATTCATGAATAATAAAAAGTGTAATAGCAAGCATACATTGAAGGAAAGAAAGGAGGAGGTTGCTGATGAAGTAAGTCCTGTGAAACCTATATCATAAGCAATGCTACCATCTGGTTTGAACAATCCAAAGTTTCTCTCAAACGTTGGACTAGGCTTCAAATTCCCGTTAAACAAAGGAAAAATATAAGCTCTCACAACCATCTTAGGCATATAAGGGGTACCCGAGGAGAGGTGGGAATCGGTGGTAGTTGAACTTGGTAGAGGTGGCAATCGGTGATAGAAAGAGCAGGGGCGTGGTACACGAGGGTTTTCTTCATCCCCACGGTGCGGTCGCCATGGGCCACAAGGCGGTCCTTTCCAGTGGTCTTCCAGTACCCCTTCTCGGTGGCGTGGTTGGTCTTGGAGCCATTTCCATACTTGCGGTCCATCACGCTGAAGAAGTACCATTCCAAGTCCTTCGTCTTAAGCTTCGACAGAGCTGAAAAACAAAAATAACTTAGAAAACACTTTGAATCCTTTGAACCAAACCCTATTGCTAACAATTCAACACCACAAAAAAGGGAAAAATGCTAACGGGGAAGGTCCCAAGGCTCGAGCTTGTAGACATCAACCATTGCAATGTGGTCGTATCGGGACAAGTTTCCGGTGATCTTGCGCTTCAGGTTCAGGTAGAACACCACCAGCTCTTCGTCGGTGCGGTGGAATCGAAAACCGGGACCCATAGGTGCCATGGATTGGATTCAAAAGAGATGAATCGCTGAGAGAGAAAAAGAGTGAAAGAAAATTGGGGATTAGGGCTTTCGTTTATGATTGATGAAGAGGGAGACGGTGGCAGTGAGAATAGTAGGTGGCGACGATGTCGACAAACGGTAGAGACGGTGGCGATGTTGGACGACGACGTTGGAGGCAGTGAAGGTGAGAAGAGAGGACGTTCAGTCGTGAGGGGGAGAAGTGGAATAGTGGATTCACGAAGAAGAAGCAATGAAGCAATGACGAAGCAGCAGCGCAAAGAAGAAGAACCGTAGAAGCAATGAACACAAGGAAGCTTAAAGTGAAAGAAGAAGCAATGAACACAAAGAAGAACGAAGAAGCAGTGAACACAGCCAATGAACAGCAACAGCGCGAAGAGAAAGAAGAAGAAGCAGCAGCGCGAGAAGAAATGAACAAACTCTGAGAATTTTGAAGCTCTACAGCACCGGTTATGAACGAAACGATGCTTAAAATGAAAAATCTAAAGCCTATATTCTTCGGTCAGAAAGGAATCGAAGCCGATGAATGTTTTGGCACTTGGTCTAAGTTCACCGAGTTGGCAGCTCAGGCTTTATGCCTCTGTTCTACGGGAAACCGAAATAGTATCACCTTTTTATAAAGTTGTCAGCCAAAAAGCCTGAGCTCGTATCACTTTTTCATAAAGTTGACACCTTTTAGGCACCTGTTCTGCTTGCAACCGAGGTTGTATCTCTGTTCTGCACTGGTTCTGCATGCAACCGAGGCCTATAAGGTACAATTTATTACAAAACTGCCACCGCCTTGTGATAGGCAGCGGTTTGGTGTAAAATGAAGTATATTGTGCGAGTTTAAAAGCAAAAATTGTATTAGTGTATATAGCTTTCCTAAGTCTTTCGTTTACTAATCAGATAATTGACTTTTCAAAGTCTTTTTTCTCTTGTGGAAACTTGTGTAATTGGCTTTTACTAAGATATTTTTTTGTTCTTTGTAAAGTTTTTTCAACATTACACTAAAAAATCATATCTAAAACAGAGTTCAGACATGACACACTAAAGAATATCTAAAACTTAAGTGACAATCGTTAATTATGTAAAAAAATATATTCTTTTTTGTTTTAGACTCAGTAAATTACAAAAATAAATTTTTAAGTCTGGATAAAAATTCGTAGATAACTGTATTAGCTTTTAAACATGATAAAAGTAAATTTGGCAGATAACTATTAGCTTTTAAACAAGATAAAAATAGATTTGATTCAATTAATTTGGATGTAAATTGTACACCCATAAAAAGTTTAAAAAAGTAGTGATTTATTTCACTAAGATTTGTGCTTCTTTAAATGAGATATATAGTGAATTACGCATTTGGACGTCATGATTTGTGCTCTAGGCATCCTTCTTCAGTAGATCAGAATTTTTGGAGGACTATTTCCATGATGGTAATAGGTCATGTTAAATATCAGTTTAAAAAATTACTTGTGAATATTTATGGATAATTAAAAAAATTGTTTCGTGATTTTTTATAATAAAATCTAAATAAAATTTTAAAAAAATATAATATAAATTAAATTAAAACTAAATTTTAATTAAATTAAATTTAATAAAATATAAATTAATTTTAATTTAAATTAAATTTAACCTAATAAAATATAAATTAAATGTTAATTTTATTTTTTGGGAGTAATGAATATCGGTGGGTAAGGATAGTATAAATCGAAGCGTATAAAAATGCGGTGACAATTTCGTAATTCTGGTTACACTATATGTCTCGGTTCAGTCTGAACCGATGTCTAAGGGGTTATACTGCCTCGGTTCTCTAACCAACCGAGACAAGAAAACCCTGCTGAATCAGATTTTTCACCTAACAATTTTTTCGAAAGAGGTCTACTGCCTCAATTCTCTAACCAATCGAAGCAAAAAACCCTGACAACTTTTCGAAATAGGCCTACTGCCTCGGTTCTCTGATCAATCGAGGTAGTATGTCTTGCTAGAAACTGATTTGAACGTTTCAAATCATTTTGTCAACCTCTACTGTCTCGGTTCCATTTTAACTGATGTCATAGGCCCTTTATGTCTCGGTTTAAGCACGAATTGAGGCCTATAGTTAGCAGATATTTTCAAATTTTTCATTTACAATTTTATTTTGAATTTTTTTTGGAAGGTTTACGCATCAGTTGTTTTTATAACCGAGGTAATAGCCTTTTCGATAATTTAAAACCGTAAAACAGTAAGCACATTTTTGCTTTTTCTTCTTCTTCTTTCGCCAGAGAGCCGTTTCTCATCTCGTATGAGCAACTTCTTCGTGTCACTCTGTTGCCGCTGCCTCCATCACTAGACACCGCGCTGCCTCCAACATTGGTTGTCGTTGCTACCTCCACCACTGGCCACCATCGTTGCCTCCACCATTGGTCGTCGCTGCATTTGTCACACGAATGTTGCTGCCTCTATTTTCATTTGCACATAAGGAAAGTTTTTACATATTTGTTCTATAGTTTTGTGTCCTGGATGGCCTAATCTATAGTGCCACAGATTTACATCAATACACTCATAGGAGAAAACAAATTTGTGAACAAAGTTCTGGTGAGAGATGGGAAAAAGTTGTAAGTAATAAAGTCCCTAGGAGATATTAGCATGCCCAATCATCTTCAATGTAGAGTTGTCCATTATCTGACGAGGAAAAGGTTAGAGTGCAGTTGAAGTCCTTAATTAGACTTTGGACAAAAATTAGATTAAAAGAAAAATCAGGAATGTATAAGACATTAAATATGACAAAATCTTTAGAAAATTTGATATAGTTCTTGCATGTTTAACAATGACAGCGAAATTATTTGGAAGTTTAACATATATATGTTTAATTTTATAAAAGGTAAAAAATTGTTCTTTCTCATGGATCACATGATCAGTGGCCCAGTGTCAATAATCCAAGAAGAGTTACCTTTACCTTGTTTATCCTCTATTGTGTTTCTCTGTACTTGATTGACCTTGTGTGAAGGATCATCAACCTTTTCTATCATTCTGAGAAGTTTTTGCATTTGTTCTGGGGTAAAAGAGTTGAAGGCAGCACTGGTGTTGGCCTGTTGAGTGGGTTGTATACCTTCTAGGTTAGAATCACTCTTATAGATGTTGGCAGAATTTCAGTCACTTTGCCACCCTTTGTCCTGATTGTTGTTATTCTTTTTGTACCATTGTGGATAACCATGCTAGAATAACATTCATCCATAGTATGATTCATTTTGTGGCAATAGGAGCATTGTTTCCCATAATTGAGATTTCTTCCTCTCCTTCTTCCTGACCCACGTGATCTAGCACCACGTGTTTGGCCCCTCCAAGTTTGCTCAGGTTTCCAGTGGTTGTATTTATTTGCAACATTAACCAGAATTTTGATTTCAACATTCTGGTTGGTGGTTCCGATATCTTGTCTTTCTTGCCTCTCTTGTTGCATGACAAGGGAGAAGGCATGACTGATGTTGGAAAGGGGTTCAATTAAGAGAATCTGAGTTCTCAGAGTGTTGTAAGTGTCATTCAGCCCCTTTAGAAAGCATATTACATGCTCTATTTATTTGTATTTAATAGAGATCTTTGATAGTTCACAATTGCAAGGGATGTTACATGTACAACAAGGTATAGGTCTAAGGGATTATAATTCTTCCTAAAGAATTTTCAAATATGTAAAGAACTAGCTTACATTTCTTTCTCCTTGTTTAATTGAGTGAATGTCTTGAAGCAAATATGAAATCTTGAAATAATCACCTTTTGAGAACCTTTCCTTTAATTCATCCCATAATTCTTTGGCATCTTCAACATATATTACACTTTCTGCAATCTGTGAAGAAAATGTCTACATGACCCAAGAAAGGACCATCGTATTGCATCTTTCCCAAGCATCAAAAATAGTATCACCTCTTGGAGATTTCTTGATAGTATGAATTTGATTTTTGTTTTTGGAGAGGAGGGCCCTTCTCATATTTATGCTCCAAGAAGAATAGTTTGTCTCATTTAGGACTTGAGAGATAAGGGTGAGGCCTGAATTTTCTCCATGATGTAGATAAAAAGGACTGGCAAGATTGGATGATTGATCCATGTGTTCCATTCACAACAAAAACGAACCAAGAAGGAAACAACAACGAACCATGGTTAAACTTCAGAGATTTTATCTATAGTTTTATTAACTAACCTGATTATTATTCTTATTATTAGTTCAAATTTTAAACATGGAAACTATATTTGTTTAGAATATAAGAATACAAAGTTAATTTATTGTAATGTACAGATTTGGAAGAACTAACAATCTGTTGTAGAAAAGCGAACAAAATAGTATTTCTTGAGACGTGTAGAGTCACTGTCCTTAAGGACTTATCCGTGGTGTATTGCGCAAGTCCCCCAGGATACAACAGGAACTTCTCAGAATTTCTAAGGATCTTAGAACTAGCAAGGATCTCTTAAAAAGAGTATAAAAATAACCCAAAATATCTTTAGAAGTGGAAAAGAAGAAAGGAGAATGAGAGGAGGCTGATTTTGGTGTGTTAAGATTGGAATCAATTAAATAAAAGAAATTAAAAATCATAAAAATGTTAACATTGGAATTAAATGTTGCTGAACTTTCTTCCCGTTGCCAATTAATTTCCAATGTTCTAAAACAAACGTTCAAATCAAATTTTAACTTTTGCAATAAAATTAATATATTATAACAATCCCTCACATATTGCAAAAGAAGGTTGAAAGAAAAGTCTTTAACTCAAATAGTTCAAACATTAAAAGAAAGATAAAAACTTTTATCCTGGGTCTCATAGGATGTAATGCATCAGAGCTGGTATAGCAAGTTATATGAACCAGTCTTAGATTTAGAAACTTAACACACAATGTAGTTGGTATAGCAAGCTATATGAACCAAAGACACTTGACGTGTGTTAGAGGTTTATCAATCACAATACACCACCACAATCCTTGTTATTATCAATGTGTTGAGCTTACTAGGCCATGCGAATGCCCGATATTAATGAGTACTCTAGAGATCATGCCAAGATCTCATGCAAGTGGCCCCAATTGACACTTATATAGGTGATTTCATCAAGTGTATGCTGCAAATCATACAC